TCCAGGGGTGGCTCAGTGCTTTGGCTTCCAGCACCTAGGTGATGCTGTGCGAATCCGTTAGCACAAGGATCGGTTGATCTGCAAGAGTGATGGCTGCATCGAGAATAGCTGCGTCTTCTGCGGAAAATATGGAACACTTCTTCGGTAGACTTTGACTTGTTGCAGTGTTCATTCCTGCCACTCCAGTACAACTCCAGCCCGCGACCGCAATCCGTCCGAAAGCGAAGAACGTACCCCGGTTAAACCAACCCGAGAAGCTCTGCAAAAGAATACCTCAGCGCCGCAGAGTTATCTCCGGCTTGGAATTGTCTCTTAATCAGCTTATCTATTTTGACAATGTTTGATCGCCAACATTTGTTTAGGTTGGCGCCAGGCTCTGTTACTCTCGTTGAGGAGAAAGACCCTATCGTTATCGGATGTCTAAGCGGCGAGGGCAGTGGCTTTCGTAGCAATGGCTGCAGCAGGTCAATAGCGGAAAGGGAGGACTCCGAGTTCCAAACATGCGGCGTCTGCAGGCGTGGAAGGGATACGATGCGTACGTAGGTATTTTATACTGGAGCGAGGATGCGGTTGAGCTTCTCGGTGACTGAACAGGTAATTTTGAGGCCGTAGAAAATTCACGAAGGCGGATCTCACGGTTGCTCGAGCAGTGCAGACGGGAGATTATCCTGACGATGTTGATGCGACAACGACAGTTTTCTTTCATTGTCCTGATGCACACTTGCGATCCATAGCCACCCCCAGAACACGCACTGTTTTCTTGAGTGGAATCTGATGGTCCAAGATCAGTGATCCCCGAATCCGATGGCCTGAGTTGGGATATGGCACCGTACACTCTTCATCACGGAGAGCTGACAACCAACCGAGCGCATCTATCTGCTGACGATGGATACTGCTACTTGGGCTATATTCCTGATCCGCTTAGTCTTTCGTCCCGTTACGACGATGAGTATGTCGTCGGCATAAACTATTACGTGCACGTTCTTGGGCAGTCGGCTGAACACCCTGTTCATTGCCACCAGGAATAGCGTTACCGCTATAACGGATCTCTGGGGCACTCCAGTTTCCTCGAGGAACGAATCCAAGCGGGTGTTCCCGACACCTGGAAAGTACGATCAAGGTGGAAATTCCGTACAAAATGTTTGATGTTGCCTTCCAGGCCCACCAGCTGATGAACTGCCTGATGACGCCAGGTGTCCACGCCCTGTTGAACGCCTTTGAAATATCAAGGGGACCTGATTTGCCTGGTCCCTTTCAAATTGTATTATTATTTATGTACGGTCCTTATATTTCGAATAATTGATTAATCGATTAAAGAACCGAAAAGTAAAATATTTGTAATCGGTTATATCATGCCGATATAAGCATCAACTTTTCCAGAGGATCATCACCCACCGTTTTCAAACATATGCTGCACTCTCATTGTTGGAAAAATAACAGCACAGCGAACAAAAAATAATCGATTAATTAAAAAATGGGACATCTCTGATTTTGGCATGATTGTTTTGATAAAAAAAAGCGCCAAATCTCATCTCTACCGAGGGGGCAGCAAAACTACAAAATTACCTTGCATACGGGGGGAATTCATTGGATGAAAGGGACCGTGAAAGAGGACACTAAAATAGAAAGTTTTTCTTCCGACTATTTCATCTTAGTATTCTTCTGTCGAGAGCTGAAAAGTAAGTAGAGGAGCTGTGTCTTAGCCGGAACGCAAGCTGCTCGTTCATCAAGGAGGCCATTTGACTCCAGAAGCTGCCTGAGACGACGTTTTTCATTCTTTCCATCACTTTTACCACGCAGAAAGTGAGCGCAATCGGCCTAAAAGAGGAGGCATCTCCGCTCGCCGCGTTATTCTTCAAAATGGTCACTACCAAGCTTTGTTTCCAGAGGTCCGGGTGAGCCACAGATAGTTGACGAGGGCGAGTAGCCTCGTTTTTCCGACAAAGGGAATGTAATTTAACAATGGGTATCAAATCTCGTCCGGCCCGACAGATTTAACACTGCTGCTGCCGAGGGAAAACTGAAGTTCCCGGAAGGTAAAAGCTTCGCTGATCTGGAGGGCAGGAATGTCGGGTGGAATGTGCAAGTCACGGATGCGCTGGACGAATTCGTTGTTGTAGCCACTGACAGCAGACAAGCCGGCGAAATAGTTTCCTAATTCGTTGGCGATGTCCTTCGATAGTAGGAGGGTAGATCATCTTTTGCCAATAAGAGCGTTGCCGCAATTCCACAAGCTGCTCGACCATTGGAATTCGTCGATTAAATCAAGGAAATTCATCTAGCTAGATCGCTGCTCATCATGGATCATATGTCTGCAAGAGAGATGGCGTCCTCGGTAAGACTTCAGCGCTTCCTCCCTACCAGGATCGTTGGGATGTAAAGCTTTACGCCACGCTTTCACCGTATATTTAATCTCCTTATTCTACCAACGTAGTGCTTTTCGCCCGGATACGCTCCCAGTCCTGTTACAGCTTCGTAGAGTACTTCGTGTTGCTGAAAGAAATTTCTTCCTGAAAGCGTCCATTCGTATTCGCATTGTTCCGCGGAGATGTCTTGCGGATGTTTGAAAAATGTTGTAGTTTGGATCGGTAAGAATATATCAGATAGTTTTTCGAAAATCTACCAACTAACTGCACCATATTTTGAATTATAATATTAAAAAAAATGGTTTGAATTCAAAATTCAACAACATCAATTACGAAGAATCTCCTTGCTTAACCGTTGATTTCAAATTTGGGACTGTACAAAATTTATTACACAGCATGTTGTTCTCATGGTCGTAGCTCAAGGTACACCATTGCTCAAACCCTCATAAAAATCACAAATATATGTTATGGACTAAACATTCTGCACTGATAATTGTAATTTGGTATAATAGTTAAAAAGCTACAGCTGTGTATGTGTGTGCCATTTTCCACGAATACACCCTTTATTCACAACATGCTAACTGAAGCTGCGAGTTGACTCGACACAAAAATGGCTCCGTAACTCATAGTTTTCTAAGAAAGCGAAAGTATAGTTTACTATCTATCTTTACTATTCGCCGAAGGCAGACACGAAGCTTATGCTGCCAGCAGTGACGGTAGTTTCGGATTGCGTTCTGATGTAAAGCAAAAAGTATGAAACTCAAACTCAGCACGTTTTTGTTAGAATTGTAGTTTTGTTATCTTGATACTCGTACCTACAATAACACAGCTTATATTATCATCCGCAGTTGCTTGCTTGTCGATTTTTGTCTACGGCCTGTTACCTTGGGCATTGGTGAGATTTTAATTTTTGATATTTTCCCAACACTGTTCATTCGTGGAGGCTGTTGCTTATCCTTTTACTCTGTCGAAAAACCTCAAGCAACTATTGGTTTCCCTGGGTTTGCCCTTAGAGACTTTACAAATTAATTATCAAACATAAAAAAATCATTATCTTTGCCTTTCACTGCTCAACTAACGTTTAAAAATATCTGCTTTTGAGTCTTTAAATATATCTATTGATAATGTTTTGATTATTGATTGATTATTTGTGATCTGTGACTGTATTAGCTATTCAGTGAGTTTGCCAAAATTCTGTTAAAAGTTATCATTAAATGAGAAAGATAGAAGATACTGAAAGGTAAGCACACATCATAGGTAAGAGACGCGTGTGTGAGAATATTTGCGAAACAATCTAAGAACACCGGTGGAATTGAAACCCACAATTTCCCATTCAGTACCCGGGTGCATTACGAATTATATAACGGTGGACCTATGGTTTACGGATGTATTTGGATAATGACATTTGAGTTTTGAATCCGTTTCCCTCCCTAGTCTTTTTGCACAAGCCTTCAATTGTCAATCATGGACGATATGTGCTTGTACCGCAACCACTCAGTATCAGGTCGGCAGCTCAATGCTTTACTCATACTGCACTGGACAACCCTAGTCCACTCTAGATAACAAAAGTTAAAGACGAGGTCAACAACAAGTTCACTTTTCCCATAGTGATTCCCATAAAAAAAAACTCAAAAGACCGGGGCAGTATGGGATCGCAATCAAATGAGCTCAAATCAATCGATTATTTGAATAACCATAATAGCTTATATCGTTCTTAAGCCCAATGATACATTAAACCTGCAATATTTATGCCTGACACTCATGATGTCAATTGTCCATACGCCTAGTGCTATACCCACTATCCAGTTATGGTATATCGACTGGCTACAATAATTTATGTTGAAAAATCGGGCGAAATCATGAATTTGCCATGAATGAAATCCATAATTGATCCTCGCCGATAAATGACCTCAACTATCGAAAACTAGACAGCCTAAGCCACTCAACTCACAATTTCACATTGCCTTTGGTGCCCTTCATCTCTGCTTCCGTTCGGACATTTAAATTGCCACCACTTGAACATAGAATCATATCAACCGCACTGCATCTAATCAACCGCATCAACATTCTTCTCTTTCAAAAGCAATAAATCAACCACTAAATAAATCAAACCACCGAACAAACACTGTAAACCGATTAGGCTCCCCTCCGCTCATCACACATTACCGTTTTGCTTTATTCTATTACTGCTCTGTTTTCGTACTGCCCCTCGATGCGTGAAATCAAATTAATCGCATCGAAAAAATATTCCACCAATCACCCGGCACGTTCATTAGCACAATATTGATATATGTATATATATATATAAATCCACGCGACAATTTCTTCATCCACTTTGACTTTTTTTTCTGTCATTGGCTGACATTGATTTTGAGTTGTTTCACATTGAACTTGCTCGAAAAATGGGTCCAACCACTTTGTGACACACCGCAACCATCAATCAGCAGTGGTCCGCTTTACTCATGCACATGCACCTTCCGAGCCCGAAGCTTTGCGAATCAATCTGGTCGATCGAGTATTGCTTCTTGTGGGTCAACTGATCACCGGACTAACCGACTTCAGGCCACTTTGAACTACACTTTAAACATGGTCCAAACATAAATTTATTCAACTAATATCGAAAATCTCACGCACGTTTCAAATCTCAGCACTCGCATCAGGAAGCACCCACGACCGGAACGACACTTTTCAGAATCACGTTTGATCACCGACAGGCTTCGAGTAGCACTAACGTAAGTATTGGCACCCGCCAGGTTGATTCATTCTGAGAGCAATCTCTACTGAAGCGGATCTAAAAAAAAACTTGCGGCTGAAAAAGATCTATGTACTATTTTAACGATGGAAGATCGTGCAAAGCGTAAATATGTACCCGAGCAAATTGATCCGCTGCCTTCTCCAGTGCTCATTTCTATTCATGCTGCATAGGCCGTGGCCACGTGAGCCGGCGGCGCGTCCATAGGTATCCGATGGCGATGCACTGGGCTGGTGGAACAAAAGCAAAAGTTTGACCGCCAGATGAACTGGCCTAGGTGAACGTAGTGCAAACATCAGCCGGATAGAATTGCAGTGCTGGTTTCATGAATTCGGACGATGCGGGTTTGAGCTAAGGAACTTTGATGATCTATGAGCTGAGACAAAGAGTCTGTAAGGGATCAAAACAATTGTTAATTATCAAAATGTCATTTGATGCAAATATTGTGTCAATATTGACGCAGATTCATAAAGGTTTTTTTCGTGCTTCAATATTTCTACTCATTTTCCATTTTTGTTTGACAACAGTAGTAGATGGGGCCTGATCCTGGGCATCTTTTGTCAGAAAAGTTGTCATTTAGTGGACCCCATATCGAATCGTATTGTCTATACGTCGATATTGACAATATTTCTGTACTCATATCATCAATATTAATGTCAATTGTTATCCTTTGTCTACAGTTCATACAAATAGGTGGATCTAAAACCTCTCAAGAATGTTCTACGTACGGTAAGTAGGGGCAACAATGGGCCAAAAAATCAAAATTTTGCGTGCCCTAGCTTACAACAGTCACAGTTTAGCAAGAAAGATAATTTTAAGCATGTGAATATATTCATCAATAATTTATTTACGACTGTCCTGGAAATGGTTGATTGAAATTGATACCTCATTTTACTAAAATTAAATAAAAAATGAACCAATGAAAAATCTTATGTGGAGTGATTTGGGCCAAAACATAAATGTGGATAAATGTGAATTTTATATCTTAAAATATAAATTTACCATAGCTATTATACTTGGATATGTATGGATAAATATCACGTGTAGCCCTCGTCTATCCACATTAAAGTGTGTTCAAACTTGTGTCTGCCTGTGGACACTTCTCTACACTTTACTCCAGGAGTTCAAGTCTAGTCTAGTCATCATTTTCTGTATATTCAAGATATTTGAATCAATAAAAAAATCAATTTTGGCCCAATGTCACCCCGTCTTACGGTAGTTTCTGAGCAGCTCCTTATATCTTAATAGACAAAAGAGATAGCAACTTGGTCGCTTCAGCAAATTTGTGCGAAATTGAAAATTCCAAAAGTGTCTTTAATAAATATATCTTTATCAGCATAGTGCCTTCTGTAAAATCTATCGCTAAGTTGCTGAACAATTATGTTTCAAACATTACCAATTTGCCGTTATACATTTTTCAGGTGGCATCGTGTACGGAGTGTCAAGACGTCCCTACCATATGTTAAATGTCCAATAATTTGAGACAATCTTCCTCAAATATTAGATCGACTTCGTAACAATAACTAGAAGTGTCGTAGTCTAAATTGCCCATTAAGGTCAACTTTTTCAACCCCCTGTTCCCCATTGCTCTTTCGATCTATATTGATATCCCCAACTACTATGCCAGGTACTATTAATTTGCTTTAGACCTGTGCGCCAATCAGAATTTTGTCGGCGGCAGTGTAGTGGTGTCACGCCGTTTGCATTCGACGGTGGCAGCGTTACGGCGTAAACCAGCGTGGATAAGCGTGAGAGGCTTATTGACTGGTAAAAAAAACCCCTACTATTACTTTGCAGCACCTTACTCAACAAGCGCCAAAGGTGACGTTTACCAAAGCAAAAATATGGAAGGGCGAGAAAATTGCTCGAACATTCACAAACTCTATTTATCTTTACTTCTTGAAAATTTGCTCATCTTCTATGAAGATTCATCAACTTTATCCAATCTTCAAAAATGTTGTTTTTACATTTTCTCTCAATTCGTCCAAGATTTTCGAACAGTGATAACCATGGTGATAAGGTGAATAAGCATGATTGCCTCTCACCCCAAAAGGCCTGGGTTTAATCGTGATTTTCTGAGGCATACAATCTCTGATCACCGGGTAGTAAGCCGTTGTTCTATGAGTTGATGGGTCAATAGGTTTAGGGTCCAGGTGTGAGAGCTGCCTCCCTGGTGTCGGTAGCATTGGTACTCAGTGTCGTGACCGGACCGAGGTTTCCAGCCTCGACCACGGTTACACAAAGTAATGGTGCAGCTCCCACGGCTGCGGTTGATGTTCTTGCGGATGCTGCTGCAGTTCCTTCTTCTTCAAAATTCGTTAAAAGAATGCCGTCAACGAGACTTTTTTTTTCACTTTAAATGATATTTATTTCTTGTATTTGTGTGGTTTACATGTATGACTTGTCTAGTGACACAGATGCGTCTTTTCAACTTTAGTTGTTTTGAAATTTCAATTATTATTATTTACAGTTTCTTGTCCTATCAGGCCTGTTTTAGAGAATGACCACCTTGGTGGGATTGGTTTGTTTTAAATTGAAAAGGAAGCTACTTGTAACTACTATTTACAACTACAACTAATCTACAACTACTATATGTACACCTAATCTACTATATACAAATGGCTTATCATAGCATGTTCTGATATATTTCATTTTTGTGCTAATTTAGTCTTAATTTCGTTGATTCTGGAATCTATGTTGGGAATGCCTGCCTCTTCGTGTAAATTTGTTATTCTAGTGTCGAAAGGACGATCAAGTACCATCCTCAGCACTCTATTCTGAGTGACCTAGATTTTGTTCCTGTGAGTCTGTGCACATGATTCCCACACCGAAGCTGCGTAGAGGATCGCAGGTGCTATGATTTGTTTGTAGACAGCCAGTTTGTTCACCCTTGAGAGGCTGGATCTGCGGCAAATCAGCGGATACAGACACCTAACCAAAGCAAAACACTTAACTACAGTTTTCTCTACATGCGCACAGAACAGTAGCTTTTCATCGAACTACATCCCGAGATAGGTTACTTCGGCAGACCACTGAACCCGTGTCCATGATTACAGTACAAGATGGAGCCGGTTTCAGTTTGGACGTTTGCCGATGGAGGAACATGATCGCTTGAGTTTTCTAGGCATTGATTTTGATTTTCAACGTGGTGGCATAATTAGCAAAGGCGTTAAGGCATCGTTAAAGTTTGTTCGTTATTTCACGAGGCATCCTTCCTTTAACGACTATTGCGGTATCATCTGCGAACAGGAAAAACACGCAACCGTCTCCGAGGGGAGGAATGTCGGAAGTGTAAATGCTGTAAAGCAAAGGGCCCAGCAGACTGCCTTGCGGGACTCCTGCTGGGATGGAAAACGTGTCTGAAAGACAACCATTCAACGATACCTTACCTTTGCTGGAGGTATTTACGGGTGATTTTAACCAGATTTAATGGAAAATTGAAGTTACAAAGTTTGTACACAAGTCCGTCATGCAAAACATTGTCAAATGCCTTTTCAACGTCTATCAAGGCCATGGCTCTGGACTTGGATACAGCTTAGTTACTTCGGATATTATTTATCACCCGTGCTAGTTGGTATTTGGTGGAGCAGGCTTCCAAATAGTACAGCCTTCTCGCTACAGCTGGTTTATACCTGAATTGACTGTTGCTTTGTGTGCTTTACTACCGCTTGCTACCGTACGTTCAGATCTGAATAATTCGAAGTGTATTGGCAACAGCGCACGCACGAACGAATGAAAGCTGTATTAGAACAGTCGCATCTATACCCGCTTTGCTAAAATCATCGTGCTTGGAACGTAGTGAACCGAATGGGCTGTATTTATACATTTCTTTATGATAAGGTTTTCAATGTTTCTGTCGTTCTGACAGCCTTCACAAACCGATGACATCCCTCAACTTACCCAAGTGGCTGTCACGAGACATTATATACAATTGATATACGGCAGTGTAGTATGGAAGAAACCCAGAAAAATTATCCTGAACAGACATGTCGGCCCGATGTCAGATCAATGTAAGGTCAATTTTGGGTCGATGCCAGGTCAATGTCGGATCAACATCGGGTTGGGGTTTGATAGAAGTCAGCCTACTCAAGACCGCGCGTTTTGATGTAGGACTACGTCTGTACTTTCTATATGGGGGTACACTTTGTGAAAACCAAAAATGGAACATGTAACAAAATTATGAAAGATATTGAACGTTAATAACTCAGCTGCCCCTGGACCAATTTCAATGCTTTTACCACCAATCGACCAGAAATATTCCTACGCATCTGATCAAATTAAGACTTAATAATTTTTCAAAATTTCACTATTGGAAATTGCACGAATGGGCAGCTGTTGCTATGATAGTTAAAATTAGCACCGATTGCCTGCGAAAAGCGATTTTCCTAACACAGGTTTCAAAGTTGAATTCCATCCGATCTCACCAAACGGTGTTTATTCAATAACCGCGTGGTGAGTAGTGGTGTTCTCCAGTACGCAACGAAAGGCTTCCTGCAAAAGGCGAGCTGCAACCTACATTAGCATCCATAGAAGGAGGAAGAAGCCGCACCGCTATTGATCGGAATCAGTAGCTCTTCGTGAGTCGCTGTGGGCCATCTATGTCAAGCGCGTCATACTAAAGAGTATAAACTGCCCCGCTCAAATTCCTACACAAAACACAAGCTCCTGCTGCAGTTAACAAATAAGATTTATAATATAAGACCACGTAGTCCTACGTCACCATTGCGTACAACCCCATAGGGCTGTCCCTTGTAGTTTAAAAAAAAATAACGGATGAAAATTTTGCAATGGGCAGCACGAACGTGATAGCACCCTAACGAGCTTCGGCGTCACACTGGCAGTGTAGTCAGCGTTGCCAGGTCATTTTCAGAAAAATCTGGACCAGGTAAAATATAAAATCTGGAAAAATCTGGATGCTCCAAATATCCTCTTTTTAACATATTGCTATTGAA